GAAACCCTTTGCCTGCGGTTGGTTTCTCACCGAGAAGTTGGGACGGCCAAGAGTCCACCGAGGTTGGATACCTAGCTTGCGGTTTGCTCACATGTGAGGTGGTGTTAGATGTGAGGTGGGCGACATCCGGCTGTGGATAAGCTTGGAGATCAGGGCCGACAGGCATGACAAAGACAGCAGGTGGTTGCTGCAAGCCGGGTTCTTGAGTGGGAAATCCGATGCAATTTCCGGTAAAATTGGAGGCAACTTCTGGTCTCAATTCTGTGCAAGGTGGTGCATTTAGATCCGGTTTAGACTGTGCCACCCTCTCTTGTATCTCACTTTGCAATTTCTCGATCTGAGTTTCTAAGGCAGAATTATCGTCTCTCAGCTCATTCTTCTCAAGGGTCATCTGTTCAATTATTGAAGAACTCGTGAGAACATGATTGATTAAGACAATGCACTACTACTATACGAGTTTTTCTCCATTCTAACAAAACACTGATGTACGAGGAATGATCCAAAGAGACCAATAGGGAATTAGCTAAGATAACTACAAGTACACATATAATGTGTATATGTTCTATAAACATGAAAAGTAGCAAAATAAAAAGACGTCGAATGCCTTACATAATTTGATTCAGACAACAGGGATGCATTTTCCTTCTGTAAGCATTTAATCTGACCAAACAAGTCCTTCAACAGTCGAGTAGCTTCACTTAGTATAGAGGCCTTTCCACTGTTCTGCTGATTCAGTTCTGCACAAGAGTTATCTCAAACTAAGAACGACCCACCATCATATCAAAAATGATTACACCAAATAATGAAGCTACAAATCAATGTAAGATGAACCGCAGTCAAAAACAAAATTACAGTGAAGTTCTTGTAGATAAAACGAACTTACCAAGAGCATCAGCCAGCTCAAAAAAATGCTCGTTAAAATGCTCACGCTTCTTTCTCTCCCTCTCAGCCTTGTGGATTCTTTTCGGAATTTTCCCCTGTTTCTTTATTCCAGGACAAGCCCTGCACATCAAATAGCTTCCTAAACATCTAACAAAGAAATCTGTGTGCTTTTTTTATCCAAATAAACAGCCATGCTATGCCACTTGGATGTGTTTTACCCACATCTCTAAAGAACTTCACACAAATTGATTTTGGCATAGGATAGTAATAACAACGATTAGTGCAGTCATCTATCCGAAATATATCAGCTTTATCCATAGGAGTCAAATACTTGTTGACAATAGAGCCTAAGTGAACACTTCTGTCAAGATTTCAAATTCTCTAATCAAGTTCAGAATTCCACCTTGTTTGAATCTTCTGGTCAGTTAGATATGCTACATGTCAACACTACCTTTAACCTCGATAATGCGAGTCTACCAACCATATGCATTCTTCCCTTCACATAAATACCAAAGCTTTCTACAATTCTAGTCCAAAATGTATTAATCACTAGTTTGCACTGTAAAAGCTAATTCAGGATCAGTAACTAGTGAGTAACACATCCAACATTCCAGAAGGTCGAGTAGATTTGAACAAGTACAAGCGTTATATCAGTGATTCAGTGCCACAACATACACAGACGTGTGTATCCTTAAACACTCCTTTGGAAACCCCATTAATAAATTTTCATTTTTCAAATCGTTTTCCTGATGCTACACTAATTTGCATCAAGTTTCTAAAGCAATGCAAGTTCTACCATTCCTACGTAGACATGAACTTCCAACCTTGAATTTATACTCCAAGCATTATATCCAATCAAGATAATACAAAATTGCTAACACACGTAACAACACTTATGCAATCATGCCAAACTTAAGATCTCAAGAACTTACCCACGCACTGATGCCTCCGTTGCAACATTACCCTTGCCAGCTTCCGGCACAGGATCCTGGGAACCCATGATCGTCTTGATGAACTGGATAAGGCTTTATATCCTACAAAACATCCAAACAATGCGTAAATTTTTGCACTTCGTTATATAAAACATGCTGAATGAACATAATCGGAGCACGCAATCGACATTCAAAGTGAAACCCTAGTTTTGTCTTCCCCAACTACTACTTCTACCCCATTCCCCACTAAAAAATCAATAAATTGAAAATATATTTACAATTTTCTAGTTGAAAATCACAAATCAAGCTTAGCAGATTCTAAAAACTACTAAAATTCAAAATTAGCCATTAAAATCAAACCCAAAACCAACAAAAACTACAAAAGATCTTTGCTTTTCAGAAATTAAGTACTGCCAGAGACGCTATATGAAAAAAAAAAAAATCAACAATATTTGCAGTAGAAGAACAAAAATACGAACAAAAAGCTGCATAATTTGATCAGAAAATGTAGAATTCCAGATACCAAACCCTAGCTACCTGCAGATGGAAATGCAGGGAACAAAAAATTGGGTCTTGGATCAAGAAAAATTGGGGAACTTTGAAGACAAATAGCGCAGGAATCTGAGGAAAATTGGAGATTTATACATATCCAGAGATAAAATGTAAGGGATTGAAAGAGTTAACTGCTACGCTTGGCGTTTAGGGGAGGAGGAAGACGGAGAGCGTGGCGGGAGAAAACCAGGCAGCGGAGAGCGTGTGCCGAGTGCTCGCCTTCTTGCTGTGTAATGGGCCCAGACACGTGACCCTGCCACGTGACCTTCCTTCTTGTGAGTTTTGGCTTGCGTCCCTTTGTATTCTACTTCTTTCTCCTCTTGCCATTCCGTTTTTATTAATTAATAGAGGAATGCTCAGTAAAGATCAAATTTTTTCGATTATATTTGTAAACAATGTGATGTGTCATTAATAGAAAATAAGTATGTTAATTGATACTTAATAATAATAATTTAATTATCAACAACAACGTCATATAATTTACAAAATATGATTTAAATTGCTGATCTTGCTATCATTACTCGAGTAAACCATGAACCCTAGATGATGAACCAATGATACAAAAATTGTTTAAAACCCTCCCTATGTTACTCTTGTATTATTAACGTGAGACGTCATGAGGATGTTGTGTTGGTAACATGTATATAAGTTTTTCTCTTAATTGGAACGTCATGTTGTGATATCTCTAGTCAACGATGCACTTTTATGCAATAAAGTCACAACATATAGCAGTGTTTAACAAGTCACCGTAACACCCAATCTTCTCATACGTAGAAAGTTTATCCTCTACTAAATTTGATTATGTTAGTGTTAATCATCCACACGTATATATGTAATTTTTTTATCAATGATCATATGTCATGCTACAGTCATCCGTCCATACACGTACTTTGATCAATTGTGACTAATTGCCTACTTGACAATTGACTTTGGGAAAAATCCTGTATTCAAATGAAATGTGAGTGGTCTATTTTTTTTTTCTTTTTCTAGAAGCAATTTACAACAAGAACTTGTTTGGCAAGAGAGGCTTGTGGCATCCACAAGGAGGCATACGTATTTTCCAAGCGTGACTGAAAGTGACTGCAATTTTTATGTTTTGTAGCAAAGCTTAGGCGTGTGCCATCCATGAGAACATCCAAGTCACCCCAAGTTGATACATATCAAATATATATTTTCATCATTTTTCACGATTGATTTTTATAACCATCCGGTATTCAATGCAAGAGACGATGAAGCATTGTATATGAGTGATTTGTTTCTTTTCACATGAGATTACTTGGAGCTTGAATTTGTAAACTCAGTCATAGGGTGTGGGTTTTATCAGCCCACCATTTCTAACTTTTGGGCTAAAATTTAAAAATTTTAACTCAAAAAATTTAGGTTTTAACCCATAAACAGTTTTTTTACTCCAAGCCTAAATTTTTTAGCCTGAGATTATTAAAGAATAAATTTAGGCTAATTTTTTTCTTTTAAAGTACTTTAAAAAAAATTATGTACACTATTATAATTTAATTTTATGAACATTTTAACATAAAAATATTTAAATTCCGATAAATATTGAAAAATCACTAAATTTGAATGAATTTTGAGTTAAATAATTTTTTTAATTATTTTAGCTGTTGGATTTAAATTTGGGCTGTTAGATCTTTTTTTACCGTTAGATTTGATTATATTCGATCTCAGCCATTGAATTCAATAAGCGGTGTGCTATCCACACACCTCATTTTACTTCTCACACACCCTTTGATAATTTATGTCCGTTGATCTTCTTCAATTCATCCGATCAGACGACCGAAAATTAAAACGATGTGTAAAAAGTAGAATGAGGTGTGTGGATATCACACCCCTATCCTAAGAGACATGTCCATGTGGGTGGGGTCCCGTTGGTGGTGCCCACACCATTTTCTGGGCCAAATCCTAAGAGGACTTTAGCTTTTGTTCAACTTTTAGCTTTTAGCTCACACATTTAGCATGAGTTGGATTGGATTGGGTTTGAGAGGAAATAAAACCTAAAAAATAGCATTTAGCCCAGGGTTGGGTTTGGTCTAACGACTGCAGAGTGGTTATGGCCTGAAAAACACATCCCTGACCTAACTCGCCGGTTTGTTTCCGGCCAAATGCTCCATTCTACCATCTGTTGGAGTGCTTATGCCGTAATGCGCTTGTTTCCGTTTGCTAATTATCCGCTTTCAGCGCTCAAGCATGTACCATTTTAGTATGTTCCCTGCCTCACATCATATATGCCGTTACGCGTTCCTTTACCATAAGTAAACCTGGCATTTAGAATTCGACCCGTTAACCCGACCCGACCCATTAATATTAGTATTTGGATAGATGCTTAACGGGTTGAATCGCTAACAAGTGAACCCATTAAATAACGGGTCACTTTGGGTCAACCCGTTAGCACCCATTAGATCTGTTAGTTGAGGATGTTTTAGTAATTTCAGTAAAGTCTTAATAACAAAAAATAAACTCTATGCAAAAATAAAGTAATAATAATAATTGTTAACGGGTGTTAACGGGTGACCGTTAGCTTAACGGGTCGGGTTCGGATGACATGTTAACTTAACGGGTCGGATTGAACCCCGACCCAAATCCGATAAACCCGACCCATACTTTCAAATTCGAGAAACGTTCATCAAATCCACACCATCAATTATTTTCTTTAGATTTTCAGTTCAGAACAAAGTGCGAATTCACACGCCAACATGGAGAACCTGCTTCGATGGAAAACTGGTAAAACAAACACGGTTTAAGGGCATATCTATAACTAGTGTTCTTTACCCGAAGGAAATGTACAACATATGCATGTGATGTGAGATATTGTAAGGGTATATCCTTGTGAAGATATGTTTTGGGTTTATACTTGTGAAATTGGCGAATCGTGATGTCAACTTCTCGAGCAGCCAAGTTGAAACTTGCGAAACTTCATTCTTCCGTTCAATGCTAGAGCCAAAACGTCAAATTCTTCGACATACCAGAGCTCAGATACCACAGCCTGAATTCAATTGATTTTAGAGGACCTTGCAAGACTAAAATGTATAATGGATACACGCAGACTATGAATCGCGTACTTAGAGTGATAATATATGGCATAACAACTCACCTCAAATCCTTGGAGTTCTTTGTTTAGACGATTAACAAGCTCTTGGAAGAAGTGGACTTGTTCTGAAGTATTAGATAGCACCTGAAAATGACAAAAACGACAAGAGTACGTAAATAACAGAACATAAATGAAAACAGATATAACGGCAATCAATGTTAGAATGATATGAGATAAGACATGTTTCTTCAACTCTAGTCGTTGAAATGTTTGGGATCTTATAAAGAACTGTCAAATTTCACAAACTATGAAAATTGAAAAGTGATTAGAAAACAAGCCTAGTTTCTGGGAAAAGTAGAAGCGAGATTAGGAATCAAACTTTCAAAAGATCAACTAATAAATTGGAACCAGAATATTAAAAACACGCACATATGATGCTAAGTAAAGAGATAGGCAACTAAGAGTCATTCGATGTACTACCGTGGATGATGCTTTGGGGTGACCAAGAAGCCTTGCAAATGAAGTATGAAGAATAGCAACATCATACTGCAGGAGACAATGGCTGCATATTAGTAAGTGCTACAAGCATAAGATACGGGAGGATTTTTACTGTCAGTCTACCAATAATATTTCATAACGTCCTAATGAGGCCAGGTTATGACGATGAGATCTGTGATGCCACAATGAGTTCCACATCAGGATTTTTACCATGTAGTTCTTATAGTTTAACAAAGTAAGGCAGCTGATAAGATGACTCAGAAAGGAAGAAGTTCCATAACAGGAGATGGTCACCTCAAGCAAGCATTACAATCGTTCACTTTCAAACATATCTAAACCGTTAAAACCTCGGTTCCTAAGCTTGAGTTCTCCTACGATCTCAAGTCATTAAGAGTACTCTATTGGTAAACTTGACAACTCTTAGTCTGCATAGTATTGGGATACTGTACTAGTTTAAAATGAACTAAGATCGATATATGGTTCTTACAAGTTGCTTTTCTGGTGCACGTGGAAGCGCGGTCCTCAATTTTTCTCGAATGGTTATAGGATCTGATCCAGAGGTTACCTACAATAAAACACAATGGTAAATACAAAAGAGTGATTCCAGAAAATAGTTTCTTAGTTATATCGTTCCCTTGATGGTTATGAAATTGAAACTTTTCTATTACTCTATATTTACAAGGATTATATATTCCTATTTAGCATACATTATGAGACGGGGGAGAAAGAAAAAGGTGAGTATATAGGTTAAGGAAAATAACCTGCCAGCACCCAAGAAGCACACCCGTTGAAGTTAAGACCACCCTGTCCAAGACAATTTTCAAAGGGCAGAGACCCTCTGCAATATTCCTAACGGCAGCTGCTTCAGCTTCAATCTGAGGAAAGAAAAAAGAAATACAGGGTTCAAAATTCATACTAAACCGATGTATAAGTGAAAGCAAATGATGTTAAGAAACCCAAAAATGGCACTAAAACTACAGTTTACCTCATCTGGAGTAGCAGGAACAGGTGAAATATGATGCGAGGCATGAAACATACTAGAATGATATAAGCTCGAGTTCTGAAACCAGATCGCTGGCCAAGATAGAGACATAAGCATACCAGCAAATAGTAAATAGTGAGAGTTGAAAAGTAGACAAATTACTCTGTTACTCTTAGGCTATGATCATGTACTCTGTCAAAAGTAGCTTACCTTCATCAAAGTAAGGATCGAGTATAGGTTTGAGCGCATTCCTGCAACAAGCCAACCACGAATGCACGACATTAATGAAAGAGCAATAAGCTGAAGCTATAAAAATTGTACCTAATCCTGTAATCTTGCAACAAAACACCTCCCCCCAAACAAAATTTCTGAACTTTAATGTGGACGACTTCACTTCTACGCTCAATTCCGATTCACGCATATAATCAACGATCAACACAATACAAGCATTGCTAATATCAGCTCAAAAATGGTTTCTTTCCCTATCAGCATCGATAATTCGAACCCGAAAACACAATGAAAGAACAAAACTATGAGAAACAAAGCCAAATACTTACAAAATCGGAATCGAGTACTGTGTGCTCAGATACAACACAATAGCACGAACAGGAGGATTTGCTGCCTACATAAAACACACACATGAGTAAACCCAATTAGCCAAATCTCCAAGTTTAAAACTTTAATCAACTAATTAATATTACCTTAAGCACAGGTGCTACAGATCCATCCCTGATAGTAAAAATATCAGAAAGTGACAGAGACTGGGAGGTCTGGCCGCCGTTTTTGAGAAAAACCGGTCCGTGCTCAGCCAAATCCCGACCCATCTGATCGTACAGTGCGGACCTCCGCTCCTTGTTCGAAATTACAGAATCTGAAGCGGGAAATTGTGATTTAACAAATATTCTCGGGAACCAAACAGAAAATAGTGAGAGAGTGAGGGGAAAAGGAATTGAATTTACCAGAGGCAGAGGTGGAATTGCGTGAGGAGTCGGAGTTCCGGAGAGCCATTTGGAAGAGAGAGTAGAAGAGCAAGGCGTAGAGGAACCAGATGAAAACTACGGTCTTGGAGCGATGCATACTACCACGTCGTCGACGCCACCATCCAACCCATCACCGCCATATAGCCGTCGCCATATCTCAACAGTGACTCCGAGACTGGAAACTTCCTAAACTAGGGAGACGCGAGTTAATGGTTTTTTTTTTTTTTTTTTTAACACAAAATAGAATACAAGACGAGTTGGTGTCGGTTAAAATTAAAAAAGATTAATTTAAATGAAACGGGATGATATAGTGTCGCTTTTATCAAATTAATTATGTGATACAAGAAATTTTTTAACGTGTCGGGAACACGACTTGATACATCAACTGTAATAATATAATAGATTGAATTTTTTTTTTTTTAATTTGCAACCAATTATACATGTTTTCGGCGTACTGAAAAATCATTTCTTAATTCTTACACATGAAACTATTTTGACAACTACCATTGTCGCCAATTTGTTGTGCCTGTGCCCAATGCTTTCTATGGTCACCAATTTGTTGTAATTATGCCCAGTGATTGCTGGAGGAGATATTTGTTCGTGTAGAGGGATATCGCTCTTTTTCTTACATCACAAGAGAGCACATAACGTGGAAAATAATGAAAGTGTCTCGTTGTACGCTAGATTCCCCTCAATGTTAGACCCCTAAATAAATGATTCATATTTCAAAAGTGGTTAGTCTTTTATCTACTCCGCACTCCCTCTTTTTATTACGATATTTGGATTGAAAACGTAAAAAGAAAAACTAACCAAAAATTTTCAAAAACTTTACTTTTTAATGAAAAATGACAAATAAAGGTGTAAGTGAATAGTATCAGGAAGGAAAGGTAAAAAAGTCATTTTTCGTTAAAAGTGAACAGTACCAAAAATGTTTCGTTAAAATTCCAAAAATAAAAAACAATTATCAACGAACATATATGAGAGGAGTGTATGAGGGAAAAGAGGAGTGAAAATAATTTCTCAAAAAAAAAAAGGGAATTTTAACGAAAAACTTCCGGTACTGTTCACTTTAACGAAAAATCACATTTTTACCCTAAAAATCATAGTATTATTTACTTTACCCTTTATTTTGTCTTTATCGTGAAAACTCAAAGTTTTTAAGTTTTTTTAACTAGTTTTCCTAAAAAAAATGGTCTAATTCAAATTGTGTACTAGGTTGCACTACCTAGTAGTTAGATGAATGAACCGATGATACTTAAGGAAGAATATTTGAGTTTGAGAGGTCGATGAAGTTAGTTGTCTATGTCTTCTTTAACCTTTTTCATAGTAATATTAATTTGCAAATGTACCGTGACCTATCAAATAATGATCACGTAACGAGAAAAATAGTAAAACAATTACACCCAAGATGTTGCTCTCCTGGAGTGGAGAGTTCTAGGTTACATTAGCACCAACAAGCATGACGTTTAAGGGTGGATGTGGATGTGGTGGTGGGTCATTTGATCCAATTTTCTTGCTTGCCAACAAGCAACCCTTAACCTAAAAGCCGGCAGCAAGCTAGGCAGGCACATGTGACACGCCACTCCATCCATTTCCATCACACAAAAAATAAGATAAAAAATAAGCTAACCAAAGCTACGTGGAAGCTGGGGTTATAAGATTTTCTGGGCCCTAACCAATCACTTGAAACGGGATTAGAAGAGATTTTATGGGCCAAATTAGTAGAGTATTAACAAGGCTTTGATTTAATTCCCGAATGGAGGCAGGTTTGTTGGTTCACTCCGGAAGATTGCATGGCTAAATAAGTTTAGATGGTCTAATCATGCTCCTACTGGCATACGATCTATCGAGATCTTCATTTGCTGGTTGCATGGGACCATCGGCAGTGTCGTCGACAGGGTTCCAGACCATGTGCACAATGTGTGTACGACCCAGACCAAGTTATATTTCGCGATCGATGATGGAGGTGACACAGATTTCTCACACAACAAGATTACAGATAGTACATGCCAAATCATGCTTGTCATGATCTTGAGTCATGGCAACGAACGACCTACAAACATTTATCAAGATATCTATTAATTGTGTGGTTGCTGCAAATTACATGAGTTTTTTCAACTGAAATAAAATTACAATGATGATCCTCTTAGGATCTTTCACTTCCTGCAGTCATACAAAAGTTTCGAAGAAATGTTATGAGGATATTAACAAACAAAAAAAGTACTAAGAACTAGCCACACGTGATTGAAATTCGCTTCTCGACAAATATGTAGTGTTTGATTAGTAGCTTGCAACTTATGCACAAAAGTTTCGAAGAAATGTTACGAGAATATTAGCCGTTCGTATGTTTATTGTTATAGGGAAATGACAATCAGGCACACTCCCTTTATCACACCTTACACACTCTTGTTTGTTGTTTTTGTTATATTGATTCAGTATGATGCTCGGAAATAAATAGGTGCATAGGAGAAAATTTGTGCGTGATTATCATTTTCCTTCTTAAATAATCAAGCAAATTACAGATGCTAGTTTTATTGGATGGTCAGGATCATAGAAATTGATTCCCGATATTTCTTCTTAATTTGTGTAGCAGTGTTTTATTTCTTGATATATATTTGATATTTTTTCACTTGAGGATGATTTTATTAATTTTTCTGAATTTATTACGAATGGTGCTATCCACACACCTATTTATTCCTCTCACAAACCTCTTCTCCTTTTTACTACGTCTCTTCGATCCTCTACAATATCCTTTTGTTGCAAAAACCAAACACAAGCTTAATGGTAGTTTGGATAAATCTAATGAACATGGCATTTTATTCGACATGGAATATTATAAAAAGAATTCACACGTATGTCTAATACAACTAATGAGATTAGATTTTTATATTTGATAAATCTGCATATTTAATGCACGATAACAACAAGTGATCACTTTACACTTGTATTTTTGTACTTTATTCATCAAAGGACCACTAAGAATATATAACAGCGATCGTACCAAGATTAATTGAGTTAGTAAGGATTGTTCTTTGTAAAACCAAGACCTAAGTTAAAGTCTTGCTGCCAACAATTTCTCTTGATGAACAATATGTAAAACCCTAAAAAAAGGGTAAGACCCCCCTAAAGGCTAAAACCCCCTATGTTTTGGTATTGCCCTCGGACAAGGATTGTCTGCCCTCCCACTTCCGGTGCCCTCCCGTGCCCTCCTGTTTGTGTGGTCACGGTTAAACCACGCCAACATTTTATATTACTATTCATTTTTGTCTTATTATCTCTATAAAAAAAACAATATAAAATGTTGACGTGGCTTAACCGTGACCACACAAAACAGGAGGGCATGGAAGGGCACCGGAAGTGGGAGGGCAGACAATCCTTGATCATTGCCCTCATCTCGGGATGCAGGAGGGGTAGCCTATATTCCCCATAAACGTTTTACCAAATATATATATATATAGGAATCCTTTAACAATAGGGATCTCCTTTTTTTTTTTAAATGGGAACATCCTCTTGACCGTTTGATTGGCTTTAATAAAATTGTGATGGCCACAATTAACTAGAGCACTACCAAGATTTGCATTGATCCCGACTAATCCAAGACTCCAAAATTATGCAGAAACCGTAGACCCCATAAAACCTTATGAACTGTGTAATCCTACCTAAAACCTTTATCTTCCCTTCAAGTTTCATCCAGTTACACTGTTTGACTCAAGAACGAGTCATTAATTCTTTCAGTCGATCTACAAATAATTCATTGAAAAGAAAAACTCGTTTTCAACTTGAACGGGGAAGTAAGTAGAAACGACAACTACCAAAATAATGAATTTAATCAATCCTTTAATATGCATCGGTGTACATATCGAAGGCTTTGTTATTTTTTTTTCTTAACAAACGATAGTGTTAGTAATTAAATTGTTAGTTGTTAGGAGAGACGGAGATCGGTGGGTATCGAACTTACTTTCCGTTACTGCGTAAAGCGTCATAGTCCTAATATGACTGTTGAATTGATCATTGTTCATTTGATCGATACTCAAGTGCACATCTAACAATCAATTACTCCTATACATATACATTGAAGCATAGTATAAATTTCGTCAAAAAATGCAAATAATTTTCGTTTGCAAATTAAACAAACCCCACCAACCGCAACCAAACCACCATTAAGTCATGTTCGATGGGACATTACTAAGATTAATTATGTCATAGGCCCTTTGTCAAAGGTCATTGACAATCGTCCCTTGTGTGATAAGAATATAATCTTTAATTAGGTAATAATATGGAACTATCAATTAAATGTATGGAATCCAATTGGTGCACAGAGTACAATCCTTGTATTATTTTGGTTTTTGAAGTTTTTAAAGCATAAAATATTTTTATCCACTACCATAAAAAGAAAGGAGTTTTAACGAAACACTTCCGGTACTGTTCATTTTAACGAAAAATGATATTTTTACCCTAAAAAGTCACTCCTGATACTAATCACTTACAACACCTTTTTGTCATTTTGATTAAAACTCAAAGTTTTCAAGTTTTTTTTCATTAGTTTTTCTTAAAAAGAAAGGAAATTTATAGATTTATGCATTGCCAACTATATATAAAATTCTTTAAAAATAAATCTTGAAATGAAGGGGGGGGAGACTGTAACAACTTGAACGTTGTGGGCATGAAACTAAAAACACCATATTCCCACAATTTTCCCACCCTCCATTGAGCTTGGAAATGTACGACATATATCATAATACAAATAAAAGGACATTAAAAAAAATATTTATCTCTACTTATACAAAGACATATGACATATCGCTCTTTATTCCGAAAACATTTGAAAAATCATTCCATCAAGTAGGAGACCCAATCATTCAATGGTGCCCAATCAAAAGGTGGTTTCATAAAAAATAAAGGGTCGAGATTGATTGATGAGATGGTGGGCCACGACCTGGTAGATTTATTAAATAAATTTAAAACTCACCACCGATCCCCTCAATGGTGTCAGCAACTGCACCATTAAAAAGAAGAAGGAAAGAAAAGTGATGCAAGAAAAAAAGAAAGATGAGGAATGATCCACCTGTTTGTCAGTGACGTTGTATATTAGTTCGGGCAAAGACCGGCACTCGGGTCCCACCACCTGAGCCAACACCTGGAACTGATAAGGTGTGGTGGACCCTACCGTCCGATTACCCTCCCCAACCCCCCCCCCTCTCTGAAAATCTTAATCATTGATGCAGTAAACACTAGAGATTCATGGCAGAGAGAGAGAGAGAGAATCAGAATGATCAAAAGGCTGTGAATTTTTTTTACACTGCATTTTGCAGTAACAATACTACTACTGTTTTATTAACGTTCGGATTAGGATTCTTTCTTCTCCAAATCTCTTCTACTCTCTACTCCTTTCCTTTTCTTTCACTTTTCTCTATTAATTTCTCTGTCTATGAAAAAGTCAACACATGATATTGATGTGATTTAATCGTAACCATTCAAGTAAGAGATCGAAGGAGAGAGAAATTTAATCCTACTCGTTAGCATTCACTAAACGTGAACATAAACTTGGTAGTGGCCTAGAGAGAGAATCTAGAGAGAGAATCCAATCGTTAGTTAGGTAGGAGACTTACCATAGCATGCAAATAATGTCATTTTCACCAACACAATAAAAATGGCATAAATTACATAATTAACAAAATCGTTTAGTCGTTGATTCACCGTGTTCATGTTTGAGCGGGTCTATTCTAGAATTTTTGCTGGGTTACTTTTCATGAAAAATCAAAAGGAGAGAAAGAGAAGAGAGAAATGATTGCACACACAATGATGATAGTATACTTTTGTGGTAAAAACTCATCTCCCAAATGAGATATTAATCACCAAAAATTCAAGAAATAAGAGATCGCAGCCAAAATAATTAACCCATGTTAAAAATAAGTGTCTGTTTCTTTTTCTGCAAACCCTAAAAAAAACCCTCTCTTCTCCCGGCCATATCATATTAATCACACAAAAAAATTGGAATAAATAAGTAAAAATAAACCTCAGAATTTTAAGAGCAATCAATCAAACCTCACGTGTGTTGTTACACAGCAAACGACTACACATGTGGGAAGAAATGACGACCACCAACGATGACCACGACGATAAAATCCGACGGCCATTCGCCGGCTTTATGAGTGGTGGCTAGTACTATCGTGCCGATCGTCGCCCCCGCCATGGTGCGAGTGGGATCCGCTCGCCTGCTGAGAGTCTGAAACACCAGTATCGGACATGTGCCGATAGGGGTTGAGTCCGGCGAGCATATTCAGCTGGCCGTCACTCATGTTATTTCCATCATTACTACCGCCGCCGCCGCCTGAGCCACCTAATTGTTGCTGACTAGGCAACAGGGTGACTGGGGCGGGGAAATTCATAAAATGTAAGCCACCGGGCATTGTTCCTCTATACAGTCCACTGTTGTTGACCGAAGCTGGAAAAGTCCAGATAGGGTCTCCGCTCATAACTTGGTTGTTAGAATTTGCCAGCATCCAAAAATTAGCCGGAATCTGACTATGTGGGTGGCTGGCCGGGACTGCACCCGTGCTTGACTGTAATAAGTACCCTCCTCCACCACCCCCGCCGCCGCCGCCCATTTGATTTAAGTCCTGCTCCGGCGGTCGACGTTTCCTCCCTCCCATGCTCCCCTCCCCTGCCGACGCCGCCTCCGAGAGATCTAATGACACTGTATCGCGGAGCTCCTGCTTGGCTTGCAACATGGAAGCGTGCATGGGGTTTGTTTGGAAATTTAGGAGAGTTGAGGAGCTGTCAGAAGACGAGAGGCCGATGCCCTGAAAGAGGCTACGCCGCTGGTTCTGGTGAAGAGAGAAATTTGGGCTGTAGTAAGAGGATCTTAGCTGAGATGGGACGGACATGCTGGAGCCGGAACTGCGGAGTGAGATGTTGAGTGACGTGAAGTTGGCAGGGATTGTGCCGGTACCGGTGGCGGCGATCACGGCGGGCTCGGCCTGCTGAAGAAGCCACTCGATGGTTTCGCCGTCGGACTTGTGGCCGAGCTCGCGTGTGAGCTGGAAGACTCTGGCGGCACACAAGGCCGGCATTCGAATGCGGCGGCCGCGGCCGTCGACTTTAGTGTGGCGGTCCTTGGTGGAGGTCCGCTTGGGGGGTGGCTTTTTGGAGGGCTCGGCGGAAGAAGCTTGGAGAGCTGAGGTGGTTGTGGCTGCGGGAGTAGAGGAGGTGTTGTTGTTAGCAGTGGGGTCGACGGTGGTGATGGCTAGAGAAGGGTAGGGGGACGTGGAGTTGGAGCAAGAGGCCGCTTCTTGATGATCTAATTCTTTTTTCTCGAGCAACTGGAAGGGGAAGTTTGGACGGTGGTGATATTGTTGTTGGTGTTGTTGGTAGTGGTGGTGGTGGTGGTGGTGGTGGAGTTGATGATCATCCCCTCCCTCCATGATCGCATGGGAAAGAGAATTATGATCAGCTTGTGGAGGGTTTTATGAGAGAAGAGTGGAGAGAGAGAGAGAGAGTGGAAGAGAGAGAGAGAGAGAGGGCTTAGTTTAGTATAATTGGGTTTTGGTGGGTCTCTCACTCAGCAGCTGATCAACTCAACTCTCAGCTCTCTTCAGTCTCACTCAGTCACTCACTCGCACTATATTTTTACAGAACAAGTCTATTTTTATTAAAATAAATATAAAAAAATCTCTGGATGTTTGTTGGCTGGAATTTGTGTACGAAAAAAATTGAGATTTTGGTTTAGGTGATGTGTTTTGGGTTAAGAATTGTATGGTAGTGCTAGAGATATCTAGAGAGAGAAAGAAGGATGGACTAAAATGGTCCTTTGGAGAGAGAGAGAGAGAGAGAGAGAGAAGATAAGGGAGGGAGGGAGGGAGGGAGGGAGGGAGCGAGAGAGAGAGCTGGGCACTGGGCAGGCAAGCTTTAAGCAACAAAGATAATGAGTGGGAATTATATGGGTGAGCTTTAAAAAGCAATTTTTTGTAGGAAAAGAAATTGCTTTGTTGTTGTGCTGAGCTTTTTCTAGCTTTTATATTTTAATTTTTTTTTATTATATATCTAAAATTATATAAATAATAGTAAGATCATCTCCAATCGTAGTGCCAAAAGGTTATATTTAGCCCTATAATTCTGTAAGAAATTATATTTTAATGAACAGTGATAGACCATATTTTATACCATCTCCAATCGAGGGGGCTAAAGGGTCATATGTCGAACATAATTGATTATTTTAATTAAATTAATATAGTTAATTAAATTAAACTACCATATTAAAATAAGATTTTCGGACATATTGGAAGATTATTGAAAGAGGTGACCAGTTGAAAATTATTGAAAAAATTAAAGGAAAGATCATTGGAAGAGAATAGAATGTGAAGAATTGAAATAAAATGAGATAAGAGTAAGATAGTATGGAATGGTGTAGAAGAAAAAAAAATTATAAAAAAATTTGTCCAAAAAAAAAAGTGGGCTGGCTGGAAATGGCCAGCCCGCTGGCCTGATTTGGTGGTTTGGGCCCAATAGGGCCCACAAACCCTCGGTTTGAGACTGTTTTCTTGTCATTTCAAATTATTTGTAGCTTTATGACCCTTTTACCACGTCGGTTGGAGACAGCCTAAGGGAAGCTGAAATCAAACTTAGAACTACGAACACATGAATAAAGGTTTAGCTATAAGCGCCTTCATTTTTTTTTCCGTTCTTACGAGGAAAAGATCATGATCAAACACCAAAAAACAAATCAAATAAATTTAATTTAATATTGATTTAAAAAAAATAAGAAAAAGGACACAAAGACGGAAATCAAACTCAAAATTTCACTGATACAAAAATAAGTGCTCTAGACTCCTTGCGCTACAAGTCTACAACTCCTATCCAAATTTTCAATAATTATTTCATTCAAAGCATCTATTACCAAATGGATGGGATATCCATACACCCCATTTTATTTCTCACACACCTTTTTAATTTTCGACCGTCGGATCGGATGAATTGAAGAAGATCAACGGATTGAAATTATTAAGGGGTGTGTGAGAAGTAAAATGACCCGTTACCAAATACCCGAACGTCAAATAACATTTAGATATTAATTTTTCAAGGAATTTTTAGGATATAAGGAGAAATTTTTCAGTGATCAGAACACATATAACACATCACGTGTCATAACATAAGTACAGAAAAATTTTAATTTTTAAGTTATTAAATTTTTAATACAAATATTTTAAATATCATTTATATCATATCTCAGGGTTTTTTTTTTTTTGGGGGGGGTACCCTTTTTATTGTGGTTGGACAGCCCCTTTTGGTTCAGGACTCCACGTGAGGTGCTCTTTTTATCATTCAATCCATAAAGACAATGGTGGCCGAGTGGGACCAATCCCAAGTCAAAAAAAATTTTAGAGACTTGGAAAAAAGGAAAGATTATATCGACGCGGGTCCCAGTCTCATTCAAGCAATCATTTCGTTTTGCCTTTGGCCCTTTGCCTTTTGCTCTGCACCTTTGCCATTTGTTGGTTGCTGGCAAGGGAACTTTGGGATTCCTCAGCTCCTCCAATCAGTAAAAAACTTTAAACTAACTCTCCTCCTCCTCCTCTCTTTGCTGACTGTTGCCTATTGGGGCTATGATCTTCGTTGGCTTTAGGGTTTAGCCTCTAGTTTCCCAAGCATCTTCCATTCTTCTCTTTTGATCCCAAAACCCTAATTAGGGTTCACTTATGCACGTTTTTCTTGGGTACCTACCCCCTGGTTTACCTAGTGCAGGTTATGAGGACTTGTCACTCAAGTGTTTTTCTATGTATTAACGGCAAGAGTTTTGGATAGTCTCACATTCACGTTAAGGAGAGATTTTTCATTGTGATCAGAACACGGATGACACATCATCTATTTTTATATAAGTTTTGTGAAATTTTAATATATAAGTAATTAACTTTTTAACACACATATTTCACAATTTGTATAATGACACGTGATGCACCACCCCGTGTTCCGGTCACACTGAAAAATCTCTCAACGACAAGAGGAGTTATATATTATAGTACTTATTGTAATTATTTTTATTTTGTTAGACGGATGAGTGTAGGGTTTTGGTATTTCTTAATATATTGTGGTTGGCCCATAGATTTAGAGTTTTCCAAACATCTTCCATTCTTCTATTTTGATCTTATATGTAATTAGGGTTCTTTTTCTTTCTTTTAAAAAAAAAAAAAAAAAAAAAAACCCAACGGGCGACTTCGTCACAGCAGTCTACTCTCCAAGGGTCGGAAATACTTTGTGAGGCATTTAGCCTCCTCGTAGCCACTATCTATGATTGAACGTAGGACATGCCGTGTGGAATACGGGCTTGAAATTTGTCCTCAACTCCTGAGTCACTCCATGGTGGTTATATGTAATTAGGGTTCTCACTTATGCATGTTGTGAAAATTTGTTACTCCTACGATAACCAAATCCTTTACTTATGTTGTTATACGCATTCACGACAAGAGTTTTGATAGTCTCCTATCCACCACAAGAGTTCTGCTAGCTCTCACAACCCTAATTTTTTGTATTATAACGACGGTTAGGTGGTCTTAAAGCTTTTGGGTTTTGGTGTTCCTTAATTGATGCTAATGTGGGTTACCCTTGAGGACAAACAGATGGCCCTGGATGATCAGCAGTGCTCGTTCCAAATTTTAAATTTAGGAAAACATGCAGAATATGCAATCATGATCGAACAGAGCTACTGGTTTTACGTGCAGGCCCATCTAAATCATTTTGATTTTGTCTAAAGAATCTGTGTTAAGGTTTGTTTACACTCATGCTGGTCCATAAATCCACTCATTTGAGCAATCTACTTAATTAAATTAATTAGTTAATCAAATTACAAGCCCCATTTGGTTTTCTCTTTTAATCCATTTGCATCATTAATTAGACCACAATAATACCGAAAGAATATTCTGTCTATGTTTAGCTGAATTGATCTGGATATTGAGCTTTTTGCAGCAGGGAAAATGTTGTATATACATATACATATACATACACACACGCACACACAGATATATATATATATATATATATATATATATATATTTGCAGAATTACTTGCTATAATATCTGAAAATTGCCGAGTTGAAATTGATTGGATGTTTTTATTGAGTACCACAGCTAGTGTGATCTGCTCCACACAAAAATTGATGAGATATACTTAATCTCTGATGGTAATTTTGTCTTTTGGAATCTCAAATGAACATGTGGCATAATCTGATTTGGTGGTTTTAATAAAGAAACTGGATAAATAAAGATGTCGATGATGAACTATTCTAGATATATAGTTACCACTAAGCAAGCCATAATCTTCACATAACTGGTTTTACAACAGAGAGATAATGACTAGCATTTTTTACAACTTCTTGACCCGATTGTCACAACCACTGCTGATTTTCCACGCCCTTTATTTCTTCTTTTTTCTTGACCTGACGGAAGAAGTAACCTCGCATGAGTTCATAAATAAGTTGTGATATTCTCAATTGGTTTTATGGTGAAACCTCAATTCTAAATAATTTGCGATGCCTTCATTCTTTATGTATATTTAACTTATGTAGGGTCACTTGGTTTTTGATATTTGCATAAACATATTAATTATCAACTATGTACAATAGTTAAAAAGAAAAATGATATTCACATTTTACTCCTCTTTTTTTGTTCGTTTATTTTCGTTTGATTATTCTATCCAATCAAACAGCTAAATTTAGATGGGAGTGCGAGAGGACAAAAAATGTGCAACAATCAGTTTTTAATTAAAACTTTCTATATTATCATGGGAGTTTTAACGAAAAGGGCCTGGAACTATTCATTCTTAATTATAAGGACATTTTGTGTATGAAAGGTCCATAATGGATCAAGTACTTTTCTTTATTTACTCTTATGCCATTACAGCGGGGTCCACAAAGATGTTGACATTTCTGTCTGGGAATACATCATTTTATATTATGCTATTAAACTTATGCTAATTTTACAGCTAGCTCTTCAGGCTTCCATCATGTTGTCGATGTTATGCAGCTCTTCTTCTGACAAATTATTCCAATATTGTTCATCGCCTTCTACTAGCTCCACATCTCTTTCTCTATCTTCTTTCACCTTGTAATATATTTCTGCTGTTTCTTCTTTGAAATTTTGGGGCTTCCAATAAGGCTGATAACTGAGATGTAAGGAAAATAAAACTTACTTAAGACTTGGAGATTGCTTGAATATGTACACTTGAACTTTTATTGATATATGGAATGTTTACAGAGATAGTTGTTTACAAGAAAGTGATTACAAAGAAGTGTTTACAGGGATGCTATGAAGGCTACGAATGCTTGAGTGTATGAAGTGAGTATGGTGTTTTCAGATGTTGAGAGAGGTGTGTGGTATTCAGGTGTGTTCTGTATGGGAGGAAAGGCTCCCTTATATACAAATTCTAATTCTTCAAAGACAAAATAACATTTCATCTATTTACAATTTTTTGAATAGTGACAGCACACTGTTTCTGAAAACTGTCAATACTGTTTCTGAAAGCTGGCTGTCTTGTCTTTGCTTGAATGTCATGTGAATTTATGTTGTCTTGGTTGCTACAGTGTTGCCACATTTTCTTTTGCATGTGAATCTATATTGTATTGGTTGTTGCAATGTTTGCCACATATCCTTTTGCATGCAAATGTTTTCTGAAAATGTCAATCTCCTTTTTCTTCTCTTGGATGTATCCACATGAACTTTGCATAAAACTGACCCAATCTTGTACATATGTGTGAAGGGTAGGATCGACATTTTTGAAAAAATTTGTCCTGATGATTAAAAGTAAAGTTTTGAGGATGTTTTGGTTAGTTTTCCATATTATCATTTGGTTTACAACAGTTAGAGTTTCA